CGAGGCACCAAAATCACTGGGCTGTGACAGCCAGGAGCACCAGCAAGCAGCCCACGGCCAAGAGCATGAAATACGGCAGACATTCACCGCTGGGGGCCGGGGAGGAAGCTGGAAGCAGACACAAAGGCTCAGTGCAGCTGAGAGGGGCACGGTTCCCCTCATCCTGCTCCTCTGTGCTGGTCAGTGTAACCTCTGCCCTTAGCTCCGTGAGACATCTCCAGAGCCGAGGGCGCTCTCTGTTGTCTTCATATCACTCCCCTTCCTCCCCCCACTTCCAAGCCCCTGCACCTCTGTCTGTCTCTAAGCATTACATGGTACATGGCAGCTGCTCCGAATGACAGCACACTTCAAAGTAGCTCTGACATGGGACATTTCCACTCTCTCTAAAATAACCTTCGTTTCTACCGGTCTCAGCTGCAAAAAATACAATCACTTACGTGCAACATATGAAACATGTCTCTTAACACTTCTCTCAGAAGCATTGAATCTGACTTCACAGGTGACAGCTGCCCCGCTGGTCCATGCCTCTGCAGGGATGCTGATGTGACTTATGAGTGTGAATGATCCATTACTTGTCTTCAACAGATGCGTCGGTCTTTGCTCCTGGGAAATATTCCAGGAGATTTGGACTGGGCTGGACACTCCCTGGACCAGACAGGCCAGATGTGCAGTGCCATTGGGGGTGAGGCCATGGGGAGATGGAGCCAAAAGCCACACCTGGTTCATGACACTGTAACTGTCTGGGGAGAAGGGAGGAAAGTGGTCCGTGGGACACTCCCCTGCCCTGCTCTCGAAATAGGGGGTGGATCCCCCAGGAGCAAACCAGCCTGAAAAGGCAGGAGAAGAAACCATTGAGAATCTGAACATCTAGGGATCTCGGACTAAGGAACGAGGAGACACAGCAGAGACCACGCCTGCCCTCAGCAGAGGGAACTGATGAAGCCCTAGAGATACCTGACCTCTGCACCCAGGACTTGTCAGTGGAAACCACTTCACCCCCACGTGGTCTGACCCCGGGACAAGACCCCACATCCTCACAACCCTTTTCCTGTAGGGCCCTTTCTTATGTGTGAATGCTTCTGGGTGTTTCCTGCTGTTTGAGCTGCTTGCCTTCACAGGGCCTTTCACTGCCTTCAGGCAGCCTTTCTTTTCATCGATAAATCCTGGTTAACAGCCTCCCCATCTTAATGTGCCTGCATAATAATACACCTTCCCCTTCCATTTTCTCCTCCCACTGTCCTTCTCTCTCCTTACCTCTGACAACCAGCCTGGTCCCTTTACCAAAGGACAAGAAGGTCCCATAATATTCAGCACAGTAATAAATCCCAGATTCAGACCTTTGGAGATGTCTGATCTGAAGAATCAAGGTGTTTCCTTCTGCAAGGCAAGCAACTTTACTAGCATGGACTTTATCTGAGCAGCTCTTAATCTTCACAGGGGCCTGATAGTCTGTCTTTCTGTACCAGTGATAGAAATCCAGTTGGACACCTGCTCCTGGGTATATTTCTTTGATCTGGCATTGAAGCTTTGCTGTAGCATCAGTGTTTGCAAACAGGAACTGCTGTGTCTGGTAGATCGATTGCACCTGTGACACTGTGGAAATAAGCGGGGGTTGTTACAGTCAGCGTCCAGCATGTTACATCTCATGTCCAAATAAACTGGGCATAAAATGAAAGCAATTACAGCTTGGTCACAGTCTACTACCAAGTTGCTAGAAGCCAAGCTAACTGCCCGTGAGAGAAGGGAAGAGCATCGCAGTGGCAGATGACTGATGTCTGCTAAGCTACCCTACAGCATCTTATAGACCAAGCTCCTGAGATCCAAAGCTGGAAGCTCTGACAGATGCAAAAGTGTTACCTGTGAATGTCAAAAGCAGGTGTCGGATGAACAGCATTGCCGTAGTCACCACTGCCCTCAGAGCCCCGTGCATGAGCTGCTGCTGCCTGTGTGCAGGTCTGAGATGAGGGTGAGGAACACCCCTTTGCTCTCTGCCTCTCTGTACATACGTGCGGCTCCTCCCAACACCCCTGTGCACTGGGCACTGTTCAGCGTGCAGGAGCAAAGCTCACAGGGACCGGGGGAGGACTCTCAGAAGCATCGCACCAACCTGGAAGCCCAAGGCTCAGTTGTAAAGTCCCCCAGGAGCTCCACAGGTTCTTTAGGTAAATGTGATCTCTTTTATTAGACAAACTAAATAGTTGGGAAAATTGTTCTTTTCAAGCTTTCAGGTACAAACACCCTTCTTCAGCAGAGGGAGAGTCTACAGTTGTATCGTGCTCTCCTGGATGGGATAGGAGCCAGGACTCAGTAATGCAGGTCAGTGAAAATGCAAACGCGTGGCAGTGAGGAATTGGAAGTCAATGGGATTTGAGTGCCCTGCCCACACAGTGAGTTAGTGCAGGGGGAGGGATTTCAACCTAGCTCCCCGTGTCTGTCCCACCCTGAACAACTTTGCCCTCCTTGCTTGCTATCCGTACAGCCGTTCATCACTCACTCTGTGACCTGCACACGTGTCTAGCTCACAGCCTCAGCTGTTCCTCACCCAGGAGATGCCCTGCTTTCTGGTCGGGATGATCCTGTTCTGCTTGCAGAGTAAGACCTTTCAACTGAATGCTTTCCAGGTTTGCTTGCTACCAGCCTCAAAGCAGCTAGTTTTCTACCTGGGATTTCCACAACACACAGTGCTACCCACAGCCTGGTGCGAGAGGCATTTCCACCAGCCAGAGATCGGGGGAAGTGGGGACGATGACATGTTCAGTCTGCAGAGATATGGAGTGACAACCCCAAGCACCCCCGTGGAAGGTTTATCAGGCCAGATAAGGTCTGATATTATTGTCCTGGATTATCATCCAGGTTTATGCTTTCTGCTGATGGATTTCCCCAGGGTGCCAGTGGTTTTATGCAGAAGTGCCCAGGGCAGACCCACATGGCTCAGAGCATTGGGTGGGATCACTGGTAACCACAGAGCAGGCAGTTTTGCCGAAGGAGAAGAGAGAAGGGACCTCCCTGTTCTTGGGTTCGCACTGCTGGGGCTCTTACTCTGCTTTTACTTAATACATTTCCCCTTGAGCTGCATCAGGCAATCAATGAGCTCCTCAAGGAGAAGCAGAGCATCAGCCCCTAAATAGGTTTAACCCCCTAACCCAAGCGCTATATAGGTTGCCTTGTAAGAACCGTCCTTCTCTGCTGTTCCCTATAGCAACAGACTCTGTTCTTCCCCTGTGCAGTGGCAATCTCAGAAGAAGGGGTGCTAATCTTGCAGAGCCCAACCCAGCTCTTCCTGGCCTCTGGAGGAACTGCCCAGCTGAAGTGCAGCATTTTGGGAGATGACTGGAGTGTCGTGTGGTACAAGGAGCAACCGGATGGCAGCTTGCATGGGATCTATCACAGCTCTGAGTTTGCAAGACCAGTTGGCAGGTATTCGGGGACAAGGTACAAAACCACGAAGCAGTTCTCTCTCATTATTGAGCATCTGCAGAGAGAAGACACCGGGGTCTACTACTGCAGCCTCTCTGAGTTCAAACATGGGAGCTTTGGGGACGGGACCAGACTGATTGTCACAGGTAAGTGTCCTGACATTCGAACGGGAACAATGTAATGAGACAGCTTCCCTTTGGCAATGCTGTAACCCAGCCACAGGTCTCAGCTCCAAGCCAGCCAGGGGTTGCACCAGGCCATGGGCCAGAGCAGACGTTGGGTCAGTTCCAGGTCCTTCAGAGCCATTGCTTAAGAAGGCCAGGGACTTCTGTGACAAAGCTAATATTTTCTGTGGCCCTTTCAGCCCCAGCAGCTCTCACTGAGAATGAGATCGGGAAACTGGGGAACTTTGGGAAGTCGGCCCCTTCACTTCCCTGCCCTCTCATGTAACAGGGATCATAATCCAACCACTGTAGATGAGACATGCCTTAGCAAGGCTGGGTGTCAATGGTCCCTTTTGATCCTATACTCACTGGCCATTGCTACTGGCAGCTGCCTGAGCCTAGGAACCAGGCACGTTCCACCGCCCCTACCTGCCCTCATAGTAATCTGGCGACTACTGGAAGAGACCCACGTAACACGTGGTGAATCCACCCATCAGCTCATTCAGGGCAATAGCAACATGCTCCAAGGGTATAGCATGATCTGAACCCCCAGTGCAGTGCACTGAGAGCTGTGCCAGGGGGTGGACTCATCCCAGGGGCAAATATTCCAGACAGGGTCGATAGAGAGGAAGGGAGGAAGTGTTGGAGGAGGTGCCATGTTGGATGGGATGAAAGCAAAACTGGGAAGAAGTTGGCTGACTTCAGTGCCTAGATCAATGTGGCTCCTGGACTGGGCTCTGACCTGCAGAGCACAGAGCAGGGAAGGAAGGTTGTGGAGAGCCGTCTGCCTTATCTCATGTGTGGGGAGACTGAGGCACAAGAAGGGGCTGGAAGCTTATTTCTGTGGCCATGCAGCAGGTCACAGACTAGTCCTGACCTCAATCCGGATGGGCTGAGACTCCCTCTGTGTCCTGTACCAAAACGAACACAGATGGCACCTGAAAATTAATCCAGGATCCCAACACCACAATGATTGAATTAGGGAGAGATCAGAGAAATAGCCTAAGGACACCAAGTTGTCTTATAACCTTTTGTCTGGGCAGGGCAGGGCAGGGTTGGGCTGGGCAGGATGAGGTGACTTGCTAGGAACAGCCCATGTCCCTTTGGCTTCTGGCACTGATGCTCCCACTCTCATGCAGGTGCCTCCCCAGCCCAGCCTTGCCATCCTGGCACCTCCCCCCTCAGAGGAGGCCAATATCCCAGGCCCTGTCCCCGTGCTCTGCCTGCTCTCCCCGCATGCTCTGGGCTGGAAGACAACTCTCTGGGATGTTATGGAGGAGCCTCCAGAGCAGATGGATGCAGGAGCTCTGGATGGGGAAAGCATGTGGATCATGGCATTGGTCCCCAAGGAGCGGTGGGACGCGGGGAAGTCCTGTACCTGCACAGCCAGAGAGGAGGGAACCGGGAGAAACATCAGTGCTGCTGTAGCCAAGGGCACTGGTGCCATGTCAGAGGGTAGGTGAGGCCTGTCCCTGGGCATCACCCCTGCCCCTCACTGTGAACTCTGGGAATGGGCCCCTCATCCGCTCCCAGCCGCAGGCTCTGTGCCCTGCTCTCACTGTCTCCTCTCCCCGCAGGGCCCTGCTGGGTTGTGCACTGGGTGGGGCTGCCCTGTGTATGCCTCCTCCTGCTGGTCCAGGGCCTCATCCTGCTTTCCACCAAGTGCCCCATCAAAGTTAAGGGCCACAGCAAGCACTAGGGTCAAGCCCCCCGGCCACATCCCTGCCCCACTAACAGCCCCTGCTCTGCTTTCCCCACAGGGAGAGCGGCAGCACCGGGAAGTGATGTGCGCCCACGCCAGAGCCCAGAGGTAACTGTTTCTCCAGCTGTGTCACAATGATGCTCAGAACTGGGGTCTGGGCTCATCCTGGCCTGGTACCTCCAGGTCAGCTCTCCAGCAATTTGGCAGAGTCGCTGCAGTAATCACTGATTCCCCTGTTCCCCGCTGCTGTCAGCGCTGTGCTGGGTTCATGGAGCTGAACTGCTGTGTCCCACCCCAGAGGCAGCTGCATGTTCATGGGGGGACACATTGCCATACATTGGGCATTGCAAAAGGAAATCCAGGCCAGGACATTTCTGACTCTGAAAAAAGTCCCAGGAAGCAGGTGAATGGATGGGGCCGTGTCATCTAATGGGATACATCAACCTTGGCAGTCAGGGCAGGACACCTGAGTCCTCTTTCTGGCTCTGGGTCTGAGCAGCTAAGGGATCACAGCCAAGTCCTGGCCCCTCTCTGGGCATCAGTTTCCCTTTCCACTTGTGGTGTCTTGACTTATCAAGGCAATCCCTTATCTGATGCTCATACAGCACCAAGCACTGTGGGACGCTGAGCTCAGCTGGGGTCTCCGGGCTGTGCTACCCACAACCGATGCGAGATCTCTCCTCTTGTGTTGCAGACAGAATATGCAGCTGTGAGCTACAGCGGCAGAAATGCTGCTGCATGACTGAAGTGTTCACATATTCAACTTTAAAATAAAAAGTGTGGGGACACGTGTGTACATGATGGAGAGACCCATGAAGCCAAGTAGCTGTCCAGTGTGTCAGTGTGTTTGGGGAGGAGGGTGATAGGGCAGGGTGGCCATCATGCACAAGAGATCAAGCATTTCAGGCCCTGCGTGTCAGTGGCAAGAACCAATTATTATTGAGAGGGAAACAGTATAGGAAACACATGTTTTTTATTAGGCAGCAGGTACAGGCGCTTTGGCCCTGGACATCAGCCACACACTGCCTACCAGTGAGGCGGAGCAAGGAGCGTGCACGCCTCATGCAGGCACCCACCATCCTGCCCCACCACCCCAGGTCCTCCGGGCCTGGGTCTTGCACATACCAGGGACTGCAACATCTCTGTGCAGACTGCAGTCACTCCAGCCATGCTGTCTGCGTCCTACGGTAGGAAACCTCCCAGCGCCCGAGTTCGGGGTCTCCTGCTCTGGATCTCTAGAGAAGGTGCAGGACATCCCAGGGCAGCAAGAAGCAGTGCAAGCTACAGAGCAGTGGTTAAGGGCACTTGTATATGTGATGCCTCTACCATGTACACACGATAAAAATGTCACTTTGTGCGGTTTAATGGCATCACAATGTACATGTTCAAGAGTTTTGGCAGGGTTTAAATGAGTTTGCTTCATTGCAAACTAAATTACATCCTGATGTAGTTTAGTTTGCAACAATGCATTGCAGCTATTAATCAGCTTGCCCCCTGGCTGCGGGAGAGGCAGGCAGGCTCCACAGAAAAAAAGGATCAAGTCCCTCTCTACTTCTGCCTTCAGCAGGTGCCTGCTGAAGACAGAAGCAGCAAGGGGCCTGATCCTTTTTTTTGTTTTTGGCAGAGCCTGCCCACCTCTCCCACAGCCAGGGGGTGGGTTGAGCAGCATCTGAGCTGCGGGGGCATCCGGTCCTTCCCTCCATGGCAGTGGAACCCCCCGGGGCAGCCCAGGTGGGCTGCTAGCAGGTCGGGTTCAGAACCAACTCAGGGTTGGGAAAGATTTCAATTGGGCTGGTTGCTGCCCCACAGAGGGAAGGACCAGGTCCCCCTGCAGTTCAGGGGCCCCTTGGCCCACTGGCAGCTCATCCCTCCTCATCCTCTCCCCCCAGCTGTGGGCAGGCTCTGCTAAAAATAAAAAATATATAAGCACCGAAATAAAGGATCAGGCCCCTTTCCATAACAGTGACTGAAAAATAAATCCCTACCATTTCAATTAAAACCCCCTGTCATGTATACAGGTGCTCTAAGGGAACAAGAGGCAGGAGTTCGGCAGGGACCAGCTGGGGGTTTCCAGGACCAATTCCTTTGTGCTCAAGACTTTCCCTGTTACCCTTCCACGGGGGCTGAGTTGGGGTTCTCCAGCGGTGTCGAGATCATGTGGTGGCTGGGCACAAACTCCCCGACCCTGTGTGACCGCACTGTGTGACCGCGGGGCCAGCATCAGACCCCAGCCACAGCGAGTCTGTGCCAGGCTGGGCACGGCAGCAGGTGGCACTTTCCAATCGGGTGCGAGGATTTCTATGAAACCTCTTTGCATGAACCAGGCATCCATTAGGGCTGCACAGACCCTGGGCACTGCACGTTCGGGAATTCTGTGCATGGTGGGTAACAGGATTGATGGCAGGTATTAACAGCCCTTCACAGAGTAGGGAAAAGGGGCCAAAGGGACCCATGGTGTAAATCCTCCCTCAGCAGAACTGCAGGGGCCGCATCACTGAACGGACTCCTGTTACCATGCACTGAGCAGCCCCGTAGCGCAGCTCACACAGCTCCACACCCAGGGCTGCTTTCTGCCCCAGGGCAGCGTCCTGGAGCTGAGAAAATCAGCAGGCCTGAGTCCTGCAGCTCCCAGCATCACTGCCCCCGCCCCCAGCTGAATGGCCCTGGGGATCCCTCTTGCTCCTTCCAGTCTGGGAACAGCCCTGTCCCATACAGGAGATAGACACTGGTCCCAGATGGGTTCAGCCCTGGGAAAGCAGCAGCTCCCTGGATCCGCCCAGGCTGGGCTGGAGATGGGGCTCCCTGCTGCAGAGATGTGGGGGAGTCGGGAGGGATCAGGATTGTGCAGAGCCAGGCAGACAGGACCCAGCGAGCTGCTCTCAGTGTGGGGCTGCCTGGGAACATGGACTCAGGATTCATGGCTGTGGAGCCAAGAGGTCCCCAGACCATGGGAGGGCTGCGACGTGTGGGTTCCCTGGACTGGAGCAGCTGCACATCCAGAGGGAGGTCAAAGAGACCATCAGCAGCACCAGGAGACCCACCACCATGTAGCGCATCCACATCTGTCGCAGATTCCTAGAGACATTGGGCAGGACCAGAGCTCCAGAAGTTACATCTGGCCCAGCCCTGGCCTGAGGCAGGTTCAGCCCTGTCCAGCCCAGCCCAGATACATCTCTAATCACCTCCCCTGGGGAACTCTCCCCCAACAGTGATGACCAGCGCAGGAAGCAGGTTTGCAGAGCAGGGTGTTCCCTGTGCAGCTCCCTCCAGCAGGTCAGCTGCTGCCTTTGCCCTTGGGCATCTTGATTTCCAACCCCTGGGGCCATCTGGTCCTGCTCAGTGCCCATCAGTCCTGTGCCCAGCATCAGCCCTTGTTTCTCTTACCCACCCCCTCCTTCTTAGCCACCAGTTTTCTGCAAATACTCATGTGTGGGCAGAGCTTTGTGAGTGGGTCCCACACCCTGCCCCTCCCTTACTGGGATGTGGTGAGTAGGAAGTGGTGCAGTTGTTGCCAGTGGGAGAGGGGGCGGGGGGCAGGAAGCAGAAAGGGAGATCATGCAAAGAGCAGAAAGCAGGGCAGCCAGTTGGACAGGGAGCATAAAGCAGAGCAGAAGATAGGGCAGGGCATGGAAGATCAGAGGCAGGCAGGCTCTGCCAAAAACAAAAACAAAAAAAGATCAGGCAGGGGAAGGGATGGGAGTGGCACTCAAGGAGGGCACAGGGCTAATCTGTGTGCCCCCGCTGCCCTAGACACTGGAGCAGGTCCTCAGCTGGTGCGCACTGCCTTAATGAGCAATTACCCATCGTGACAGGTCAGGATCTGGCCCACTGAGTTCCCCCTGCTGTGGATTTGACCCATGCCCTTTGCTGCACCAGGTGAAGAGGCATCCTGGCCCTTGGGACTCGGGTCAAAGCAGCTCGGATCCAGCCCTGTTCACTCTGGATCCAGTGCAGCAGCAGAGAAGCTACAAGAAACCACAAGGCCGTTGTGAGCCCCAGGCTTGGTTAACCACAACCTGTGGGTGTGTTCCCACACTCTGGCCACAGTTGCCACAAGGCCACAGTTGCCTCCTGGTGCGGTGCAGACCTGCCTTTTGTGCACCCATTTAAACACAATTAGCCAGGGCAATGACAGCGCTGTGAGAGGGGCGCAATCCCTGCAGGTAGAAAAGCATTTGTGCATCTGGCTGGAGTTGGAACTGCTGTAAACACCATCCAATTTGCCAGCCTCACGCCCAAAACATTACAGTATCACCTCCAGAGGGGTTTATTGAACTGAGCTGGCTTTTCTATGCATGTCACAGCATTGGTGCAGAACCCAATCACATCCCAGCCCAACATAACAGCACAGTAATAAACGGTGGAGTCATTGTGCTGGATGCTGGAGATTTCCAGGGTCAGGCCATGTCCCTGAAACCTGCACACAAATTTGCTCATGTTCTGGTCATCCTGACATGGATAGGTGCCTTCCCTTCCCTTCTCAGGTACCAGTAATATTTGCCTTTCCCTCCCTCCACTGGCTCTCCAGGAGAGCAGAGGATCTCTGCGGTGCCGCCGACTTCAGCAAACAGGACCGGTGGAGTCTGGTGCAGGGATAACGCTGCCCCCAAGGCTGCAGAAAGAGAACAGGTGTTATAGTCATCAGCCTCCCGTCCCGTCCTACAAACCCAGCAGGAA